ATAGCCAGGACATGGAAGCAACCTAAGTGTCCATCGACAGATGAATTCCTAAAGATGATGTGGCACATATATACAATGGAATATTACTCAGCCATAAAAGGAAACAAAATTGAGTTATTTGTAGTGAGGTGGATAGACCTAGAGTCTGTCATACAGAGTGAAGTAAGTCAGAAAGAGAAAAATAAATACCGTATGCTAACACATATATATGGAATGTAAAAAAAAAAAGTTTGAAGAACCTAGGGGCAGGACTGGAATAAAGACGCAGACATAGAGAATGGACTCGAGGACACGGGGATGGGGCAGGGCAAGCTGGGACGAAGTGAGAGAGTGGCATGGACATATATACACTACCAAATATAAAATAGGTAGCTAGTGGGAAGCAGCCGCGTAGCACAGGGAGATCAGCTCGGTGCTTTGTGACCACCTAGAGGGGTGGGATAGGGAGGGTGGGAGGGAGACGCAAGAGGGAGGAGATATGGGGATATATGTATATGTATAGCTGATTCATTTTGTTATAAAGCAGAAACTAACACACCATTGTAAAGCAATTATATTCTAATAAAGGTGTTAAGACAAATATAATGGTCTGGGGGCTTCCCTGGTGGCGCAGTGGTTAAGAATCTGCCTGCCAGTGCAGGAGACACGGGTTCAATCCCTGGTCCAGGAAATCCCCCATGCCACAGAGCAACTAAGCCCACGTGCCACAACTACTGAGCCTGCATTCTAAAGCCTGGGAGCCACAACTACTGAAGCCTTTGCACCCTAGAGCCCACGTGCCACAACTACTGAGCACACGTGACACAACTACTGAAGCCCACACCCTCTAGGGCCCACGTGCTGCAAGTACTGAGCTGCACGCTGCAACTACTGAAGCCCGCGCACCTAGAGCCGCCCTCCGCAGCAAAAGAAGCCACCACAATAAGCCTGTGCACCACAGCGAAGAGTAGCCCCTGCTCGCTGCAATTAGAGAAAAGCCCGTGCACAGCAACGAAAACCCAACGCAGCCAAAAAAATTAATTGATTAATGAAATAAAAGTAATGGTCTGGGGTCTCTTAGCTGAATATGAAAAATTGAGAAGTAAGTTGGGGTAGTGGTCAATGAGGTTGGAAAATAGAGAGGATTTGAACCAGTGGCTGAAAGGAGAGGGAACTGTAGACAAAAAGCAGGATGCCTGAGCTAGTGATTTCAGAGGTGGAGTCGTTGCTGTGATGAAAAAGACTAGAGGAGAAGATCTTTGGAGATATTTCCACTTTTCCAGTTTGAACACCTTCCCCTGGTGGAGATGAGTACATTTGCTTTCTATCGTCATTAACCTTACAACACCTTCCCCAAGGGGGTGTTCATTATCCTCCTGAAACAGAGCAAAAATTAGCGTTTTTAGTTCTCTTGGATTTCAGGCACTCTGATCTGCCTCTTGGACTTCCTGTCACTTTTTCATCCATCCTTGAGTACATGTTCCTCCTTATGGGTCCTTTTATTTTTTTTTAACTTTTTATTTTATATTGGAGTATAGCCGATTAACTATGTTGTGATAGTTTCAGGTGCACAGCAGAGGGACTCAGCCATACATACACATGTATCCATTCTCCTTATGGGTCCTTGTAAACACTGAGCTCCTGAGAAATTCCACCATCCTACCACTCTGATTCTGTAAATGTCTTTTGCTCATGTGTGTCATAATAGGCTAGGTTATTCTGTGCTAACAAAGGACCCCAAAATCTCAGGCTGGAAGGTATGGAGGCACTAAAACGTATCTGCATTTTACAAATGAGTAAACTGATCTTCAGGGTGTCTGTAAAATGTGCATGGCCCTCAGCGGGCAAAACCCTAGGAAGACAACACTTATATTTCCGCAAAGGCTACGCCTAAACAATTAAATGCTCTGAGTGAACGCAGTTGTGCTTCCAATTCCTCTGGACCACGATGCACTATGCAATCTGCGTCTTTATGCTAGTGGAGAAGTGCTCCCATCCAGAACTCAGTAACACCCACCCCGGGGCTGACGGGGGCGCTGGATGTAGATAGTGACCAGGGGCCCCATTCTAGATAGTGTGGAGGCGAGTCTGCTTACGACAGAGATGGCCAAGCAGGGGACATAAAACAGGAGAGACAGTGGAGTTCTCCGGGTGGGGTCCACGTCCTGTCACTGGGTACATTCTGTACACACGAGCCCCTCCCTTGCTTGCACTCAATTCATGAAGACTTGACTTCATCACGGAGGAGTTGGGGAAAGGTGGGGTCTGGCTCCGTGCGCCCCAGCCGGCGTCCCCCGCCCCGCGGCAACCCCTCCCAGATCAGGCAGAGCCCTGGATGAACCCCAGCGGGTAGAGAGGCGGGGAGAAGCTGCGGGGTGGAAGGCGGGGCGGGCCGCTGCCTAGCCGGCCAATAGGCAGCTCTCCAGCGCGGAGCCTGGAGAGGGCAGGGGATTCGCCACTAGCACCACCGCCTCCAGAGTTTCTCTTGTGGATGCACAGCCCCAGTGACTCCGCTCCTCCCGGCGCAGAGGGGCTCCAAGAGGCCGGAGGAGCGCACTCGGGACGGGATTTCCGAGGAAAGGGAGAGGAAGGGCGCCCCACCCGCTCTAGAGGGGTTCAGTGAACGATGAAGGGCCGGCGGCGGCGGCGGCGCCGAGAGTACTGCAAGTTCGCGCTGCTGTTGGTGCTGTACACGCTGGTGCTGCTGCTCGTCCCCTCTGTCCTGGACGGCGGCCGCGACGGGGACAAGGGCGCTGGGCACTGCCCGGGCCTGCAGCGCAGCCTGGGAGTGTGGAGCCTGGAGGCGGCGGCGGCGGGCGAGCGCGAGCAGGGCGCCGAGGAGCGGCCCGCCGCGGAGGAGGACGCGGGCCGGTACCCCAGGTCCCGGGGCAACCTCAACGGCGCCGTCGGGGAGGCGGCGTCTCGCGAAAAGCAACACATCTATGTGCACGCCACCTGGCGCACGGGCTCGTCGTTCCTGGGCGAGCTCTTTAACCAGCACCCGGACGTTTTCTACTTGTATGAGCCCATGTGGCATCTGTGGCAGGCGCTGTATCCGGGAGACGCCGAGAGCCTGCAGGGCGCGCTGCGCGACATGCTGCGCTCGCTCTTCCGCTGCGACTTCTCGGTGCTGCAGCTGTACGCGCCGCCGGGGGATTCCGCCGCGCGCGCCCCGGACGCGGCCAATCTCACCACAGCCGCCCTCTTTCGCTGGCGGACCAACAAGGTCATCTGCTCGCCGCCGCTGTGCCCCGGCGCGCCCCGGGCCCGCGCCGAGGTCGGCCTCGTCGAGGACGCCGCCTGCGAGCGCAGCTGCCCACCCGTGGCTCTCCGCGCCCTGGAGGCTGAGTGCCGCAAGTATCCGGTGGTGGTCATCAAGGACGTGCGCCTCCTCGACCTGGGCGTGCTGGTGCCCCTGCTGCGCGACCCCGGCCTCAACCTGAAGGTGGTGCAGCTTTTCCGCGACCCGCGGGCCGTGCACAACTCGCGCCTCAAGTCTCGGCAGGGGCTGCTGCGCGAGAGCATCCAAGTGCTGCGCACCCGCCAGAGGGGCGACCGCTTCCACCGCGTGCTGCTGGCGCACGGCATGGGCGCTCGACCCGGGGGCCCGTCCCGCGCACTGCCCGCCGCCCCGCGCGCCGACTTCTTCCTGACCGGCGCGCTCGAGGTGATCTGCGAAGCCTGGTTGCGCGACCTGCTGTTCGCGCGCGGCGCGCCAGCGTGGCTACGGCGCCGCTACCTGAGGCTGCGCTACGAGGACCTGGTGCGGCAGCCGCGCGCCCAGCTGCGCCGCCTGCAGCGCTTCGCAGGGCTGCGCGCGCTCGCCGCGCTCGACGCCTTCGCGCTCAACATGACGCGCGGCGCGGCCTACGGCGCGGACCGGCCCTTCCACCTGTCGGCGCGCGATGCCCGCGAGGCCGTGCACGCCTGGCGCGAGCGCCTGAGCCGAGAGCAGGTGCGCCAGGTGGAGGCCGCATGCGCCCCAGCCATGCGCCTGCTGGCTTACCCTCGCAGCTGGGAAGACGGCAACGCCGAGCCGTCCGAGGACGAGGAGACGCCGTTGGAGACGGGGGCCGACGGCGCCACGTAGCCCCGCTCCCGCGCGCCCGGGACGGATCCGGGTAAGGTGGCCCCCGGCAGGGTAGGGTCAGGAAAGGGTCTTGGGGAGCTTGGATCAGCCTTCAGGGGGAGGGGAGGGATGCCATCTCAGATCGATCTCACCCGATGAAAATAGATCCGAGCGGTAGGGGAAGTCCAGCTGGGAGCATTTGGGAGAGTCATTGGGATCTCTAGCATAGCCCCCTGCCTTCTCAAAGGAAGACCCAGAGAAGCGAGAGGTTAATTATGGCTAAGGCGGAACGCAGGTCTCCACACTACCAGTTTCCCCTATGAAGTAAAAGGTAGGATCGTCTGTGGAGAATGAGGAATGGGGGAAGGAGAGGGAAGAGGGATATCACGGGTCTGAGCAGAGTAGAGAAGGTTTGAAAGTCACAATGAAACTTGAGACTGGGAATTGACATGAAAAGTACAGGATTTCGGGGACCATATGAGGTCCATGATTATGACTTTATCTTGATGCCACTAGGTCCTGTGGGGAAACCTTTTGCAGCAGTGTTTGCAGGCACAGGGAAAACCAAAAGCAAAATTTGGGGGAAAGTTATTGACTCTTATCCTACCCACCCCTAATCTGTTTCATATTTCTCTGCCTCTGCCTCTCTGACGTGCAGACTTCGAGGCTTTCTTTCAGATTTACCAAACATACAGTCATAGGCTTCTCTTGCAACAGCTTTTGCACATGTGTGTGCCTCAGGCTCTGGTATACTGGCATGGAATGGACTTTGCTTTCCCCTGGCTCGAGGGGTGGCTCCCCCCACCTCCCACCTCCGCCCCCAATGGCTGGCGCTCCCAGGATATTTGACCATATTCCGTTCACATCAGGTCACAAAAGCTGCCTGGTCTGCTTCCTCTAGTGCGGACAGAACCTCAGGGCTGGGCTTCCCTCACTCTGCCCGATCCACTTGAGAGATGGAACCTTGGATTGGCAGTAGCAGCTTTGGCTGTGACTGCTGAAGGAGCTTTGTGAAAAGACATTCCCTTTCTGCCCCCCCCATTTTTTTCTTTCTCTGTAAAGCATATATCCTAAGGTATCCTAAGATGCCAAAATGGGGCTTAAATGATCTCAAAATGTGTTCAGTGTCTGGTTCGGTCTATGGCCTGTTCATTGGGATGAGGGAAGTTTGTTCTACATGATGTTGACCTCAGGAGTCTAGTTAGTGGCGTGGGAATGCGATTTCCCAAACTTTGTGTGAGCTGGAAGAGTGCAGCCTTCTGCACTGTGCAGTCCAGAGGAGGAAAAGCAGTGCCGGGTGGGCGGAAATGACTTAAGTTTCCATTCATTAGCTTATAGTGTAATTCAGTATTCCTCTGGGATGAAGCTCTGAGGACAATAGTCGAAGACGTTAATGAAGATGGATTTTGTTGTTGTGAATAGAGCCAGGGTTTCAGAGTGATTTCGGAAGCTGATTTTCCTCCTAGTGATCAAGTCGTTTTCTTAGTTTCTGTAATTGCTTAGGAAGTCTGTGTTCTTTCCTGATTTCCAGAGTGAAGGTAAAAGGAACAGGGTGACTTGTCACATTTTAACAAAAACATCCTTTCATCTGCTAATCCTGTATTTACAGATGTAACATAATGGGTCTCCAATCCTCCTTCACCGGTCTGAGGGAACGCCTCTCGAGGACAAATGGCTGCAGCATTATATGGTTTTAAGAATTGACAATCTCCCAGAAACTCTGACTCTTTTTTTTTTCATTTTTACTAACATTTGGCACTGACTGGGGTGAGGTAAGAAAGTGAATAGAGAGGAGGGTTAGAGGACACAGTCTTCATCCTCTAGGAGGTTAGAGTCTGTGCACGTGACAGTGACTATGGGGCCAGACATCGGTGCTGCTGTTTGGAAGAGCCAATGGGGCTTCCTTTGCAGGGCTGCAGGGACATCTGGCAACAAGCTTTAGGCTCTTTCAAACTCTGGTGACTGAGCTCTTCCTCCCACATTTCTGCTGGAATTATCGGGCACTTACCATGTCACCACCAACTAGTGGATTTATCAAAATGCTTGTATTCCTGGTTCCGAGAAAGATAATGTTACCAACCAACTGATGAGTTTCCAAAAGTCTGTCACACTCCACTCTAGGAATGGGAAGGGATGGATCCTCAGGTGCGATGTGTTGAGTTAGGCATTGTGGATATATCATTACTGTGACTGTCGATGAAAATAAGCGATAAACAATCTATAATAAGAATAGGAAAGAGTTTTATTTGAGCCAAACTGAAGACTATAGCCCCGAAGATTGGAAGACAGTCAGATAACTCTGAGGAACTGCTCCAGAGAAGCTTGGTTTTCAGACCAGTTTTACATCTTGTCAGAACAAAGAACACTAAGCAACTCAGGGATCCGTTCCTTCAAGCTTTCCAAAAACAAACAGACAAACAAAACAAAACAAAAGAGATCAGCACGTACACCGCGAGCCAGTATGTCCTCAGCACCTGGGAAGGGAGTCTTATCATTGAAGGAGTACCAGCATGAGCGTCCCAGGAAGGAAGGCATTTAATCTTTATTTTTAACACAGACATTCTTTACTTCTGGTCAATGCGCCCTTTTCTTTAATAATTAAAGTAGAAGTACCGTGTACGTTTGATAGGCCACAAACAGGCTGTTTTAGTTAGCATCACATTCGGGTTAAATCATGTATAAGCCAGAATGACTTCCCCATACCTCCATATGTGAACATTTCTTTCATCATGACATATTATCAGTTTTACAGATGAGAAATCAGAGATTCAGAGAAGTCAGGTACCTTGCCCAAAGTCACACCTGGGCTGCTGGGCTGCTGAGCTGAGTGTTAGACCCCAGAGCTCAGAATCTCTCCATTATAACACGCCCTCACCTGCCCGCCCCCCCCCTTTACCGTCCCCTGGCACCCTTTTGGCACTGCAGCCAGGCATAGTGGCTACTCTAGGGTGAGAACCACACTTAGCTTTATTACTAACAAACACTGAACAAACCAATAAAATATCCCTGAGCGCTGCCAACAGCACCTACACGGGAGAGCCCCTGACTCTATAGCCGTCCTCCTCATGGCTGTCCTTCGCTTGGGGCACCTGAGCACCCTTGGGGCACCCTTGGCTCAGCAGTGAAGAGGGACTGCACGTGAATTAACCTGAGCGACTTCTGGATGCTCCAGACCTGACAGCCAGGATTTGGCAGGGAGGGAGTCAGTGCGCTTTTTTTCAGGGCTGGGTGGGGACCGCAGCACCAAACTAAGTCACCGAGGACCCCAGGCCCTTTCCATCTTTTCCATCTTCTTGGCTTTTGTTCACCAACTTATCTTCCCACTGTCACAAGACGGTAGCCTCAACAAGAAGCATCACTTCCTCACCCAACCACACAGGGTTGTGAAAATGCAGAAAGGAAGGAAGGTGGTTACTAAGGGGTAGCGTTTTCCCTCATGTATCTGTCTTTCCTCCAATCTGGTTATAAAACCATCCCCAGAAACCCCTACCCCAGTCGACTTCCTTTTATGTCTCACTGGCTAGAACTGGGTCACGTGTTCTGCCCTAGCCCAGTAATTGGTGAAAGGGAAGCGGGTTGTCATGATTGGCTTAGACCAGTGGGTTCTCAGCCCTGGCTGAACATTACAGTCACCTGAGGAGCTTTTCTTTTCTTATGTCAATATTAAAAATACTCCATCCTCAGAGATTCTGATTTAATTGGTCTGGGGTGGGATCCAGTTATATAATTACTGTATAATCCCCCAGGGGATTGTATAGTGCAGCCAAAGTTGAGAGCCACCTACCTGGACCCGTCATGCTTCATCCCCTGGGCTGAGCCCTTGCCACTGGAACAGGATGAGGATGCAGACTAAAGTTGATGAGCAGCGAACTGTCTGCCATAGTCGTTTATGTGAAAGAACTTGGAGCTGTGAAATACCAAGCAGCTGTAGGGTGTTAATATGGAAACGTCTTAAATTATTCACGGCTCCATTTATCACCCTCTCACATTCCTTCAAATGCTTTGTTGTCTGTATCTCCTTATCTATAATCCATCATGGTACACTATCCACTACCATTCTGAACAGACTCATGTGCTGCCCTATCCTTTTCAGCATGTATCCGTTTGACCTCTGCCCTTGGTAGGACCCAAGATTTCATTTCATTAGGCATTTAAGGCATCTTGGTCTTTGTTCTTCACAAGATAGACGGACCCTCTGATTGAAATTAGGAAGGGAGGTAAGTGCACTGTAACCGAAACCCCAACAATCAGAAAGTGTTCTTTCTAAGGAAATCATCCAAACAAAAAGAAATGAGCAGCCATCACCAAATCCCTAACAAAGCATTTTGAAAGTCATTCCATTTTAGTAAAGCCAAATGGCTTATGTATAAAAATCACTGAAAGGGAAACCTCTTGCTTAAACAGTAGTCTGTACTGCTAAAGAATAGGCATTTGTTAAACATTGTTCCTACCTAGAATTTCTCATTCAACAAAATTTGTTCAAATCCCTAATTGTAGTAAAAGAATGAAGCTAGAACACTCCCTAACACCATGCACAAAAATAAACTCAAAATGGATTAAAGACCTAAATGTAAGGCCAGACACTATCCAACTCTTGGAGGAAAACATAGGCAGAACACTCTATGACATAAATCACAGCAAGATCCTTTTTGACCCACCTCCTAGAGAAATGGAAATAAAAAGAAAAATAAACAAATGGGACCTAATGAAACTTCAAAGCTTTCGCACAGCAAAGGAAAGCATAAACAAGACGAAAAGACAACCCTCAGAATGGGAGAAAATATTTGCAAATGAAGCAACTGACAAAGGATTAATCTTCAAAACTTGCAAGCAGCTTATGCAGCTCAATATCAAAAAAACCAAACAACCCAATCCAAAAATGGGCAGAAGACCTAAATAGACATTTCTCCAAAGAAGATATACAGATTGCCAACAAACACATGAAAGAATGCTCAACATCACTAATCATTAGAGAAATGCAAATCAAAACTACAGTGAGGTGTCATCTCACACCAGTCAGAATGGCCATCATCAAAAAATCTAGAAACAATA